TGTTTTTTTTTTTTTTTTTTTTTTTTTTGTCCAATATAATAGTCACTAACCACATTGGCTATTTAAATTTACATGAATTAAATTTTCTTCAAACTAGTTTTTCACTTCTAGCAGCCACATTTCAAGTACTTGGTAGTCACATGTAGTTGGTAGTTACTACATTAGTGAAGACACAGAGCATTTTTGTCATTACAGAAAGTTATACTGGACAATACTTAGTGGAAAAGAGATATTACCCTGAACTCAACCAATAGTCACAGCTGGAAGCTTTGCTGCTTCAGAGAAAGTTACAAAAGGGGTCAGAGGTGCTGCTTGTCCCCAGCATGTGTGCATCTACACATATGTGCAGAAACACACACACATACACACACACACACACATGGTCTTCCACAGGGTGTAGCTGTAGGTGACCTCCAAGAGATTGCACTGCTAGAGTCCTGAGACCTATTCTCCTAGCAGGCTATGAAGAGCCACCATGAATGAGAAAACACTTAAGAGTTTTTCTGCCTTTCCTATCCTCATACTCTTGCTGTTCTTTTTCTCCTGGAGCTTTACTACAGACAGAGACCATCGCAGGCCTCCCTTTTCTGCTGTGAAGAAAAAACTCTCACACCCTGGACTGGGAGAAAACCCACCAGAATGGTGAGCATTAGGGCCATCCTTGGTAAGGCCTTGTCTCCGTTTGAGGAGCTAGGTTTATAGAAAGGGATAGTGCCCCTAAAAGCCCAGAAGATGAAGAGGTGGCTGAGACCATTACAGCAGGCAAGAGAAACTGATGAGAGAATGGAAAGCTGGCTGCCACAGGCTCTGAGTACAACTTTGAGAATAGAATAGGTAGGTACTTACACTGTGAGTCATTGTAGAGGTCAGCACACCATGCCGCTCCCCACTGGAGAGAGTCTGAAAGGAAGAAAACATAATAAACACATTTCCTGATAAAGGAGAAAAGGATGGAAGCTGAGAGCCTAATGCAGGAAGGCTGTGGGAGGCTAGAAGAAGAGTGGAGCTGGAAGTGCCTTGATATTCACTCAGCATGTCTAAAGAGAGAAGAGAAAGCAAAAAGCCCATATACTGCACTCTAGATTTTAAACAGTTCTTCAATGTCTGTCAGCTAAACCCTAACAAAGTAAACTGTAGCTCTTTTTGAAGGTAAGAATTCCTTTAACAAGATGTACTAAAGCAAGAAAGGTAATCCTGAAAGTCTGTGATCTGTGTAATCTCAAGGGCTGGCTGAACTGGTGATCGTGTCTCAAGGGTTCAAAGTGTGAGAAGAAATTGTAAAGACAGATTGTGGTGATGGTGCAGGACACTGCTGAAATCCTGGCTGTGCTGCTCACCAGGCCAGTTCCCACAAAGATGTGAAGCTACGTTACGTGGCCTGGTGGAAATGAGGAAAAGAGGTCCTGCCAAGGCCTGGCTCTCACCACTGGATGTGGCAGTCCCCTATACAGCCCAGAGTAGTCTGTGGACAGTGTCAGGTCCGGCCACGGGACCCTGCTGCTGGCTGGCTTAGAGAAGTCTCTTCTTCCCTTCAGAACTTGCAAGTCCCCTTTATAAAAGGGCAAGGGCAGTGCAATCCATAAACCATCAGGTCATAGCTAATTCTCACACCCTATTAAGCGCAGAGACTCTCAGTTAATAAACTATGAGGAAAGTGTGAGAACAGAAAACAAATTCAAAAGGTTCCCTATAATCTTTGTTACCAAGAGAAACAGAGAATATTTTCCCATCTCTATTTTTTTTTTTTGGTCACAGTTTAAAATTCTGCTGTATTTTAACAGAATTGTAACAACTCATAATTGTTATAACAGAAAATTAGTAATATAATAGACCAAATCTATGCCAATTCAACTTGAATCTTCAGTATAAACAGGTTCAACAAAGTCCTTTAGGCGTAATTTCTTTTAGGTACAAAGACTAAGGCCAGTGAACTAAGAGTTTTCTCTCCTCCTGAAAGATTGAATATCTTCTTCCAACTTTTCTTAGGTGGTTGAACACTGAACATGATTCCTTTGGAGAAAGAATCCAAGCTGTCTACAAACTCCAGTTCAGCATCCCCACCCAAAGTAAGAATCTGGTAATTTTCTTTTAACTTGTTATTATATAAAAACCTGCCATGAATTCATTAAGCCTCTGTTTTCAAAGATCTTCATATGTCTGTCTAAAATTCTCTTTCAGAAGTAATTTTATCCAATTCTGCAACCCACTGCAAAAATAATTCTTTCTTTTTTTATTCTGCAATGGCACCAAGGTTAGGTTTCATTTCCTGACACGACTTCCAAAAGTGCAGTCTGATTTATTATAGAATCTGGATTCTTTATTGCTTCAAGATCCCCTGGGCTTAGAACAGAAACCTCTTTAACAAGTTTATCTTTTATAGGATGCAGTAGTATTTTTGAAATCTCTTTTCGCCAATATTTTATTTTAGGGTTATGTACAGCAATGTGACCATCTATTTGTTCAAGTTTCAACTTAACATTAAGTGCATCTTTCTGAAGGCATGTTCATTATCTTGAATAACTTTTAGTCCTTGAAGCAGATTATGATGTTCTTTCTGGATCTCTTGTAAGGATTCCTCTGCAGCATTTCCATCTCTATTTTTAAATTTAATGTTCAATGGAAATCTATGCTAGGCGCCTGGAAGAGCAAGTCCTTTATTCAGAGATCCAGCCAGTCAGACTGAGTTTCTTTTCTTTTCTTTTTTTTTTCTTCCAGCTTTAATTGAGTTTATTGGTACATTTTAGGGATACAGTACAGTTACATTCATTGTTGGGATCTTGTACCTCTACATGACAAGTCTTGATTCTCATTTTTTCCCCTTAACCCTGCCCTCTCTTCACCCCCTCCTCCCCTCCCCGTTTACAAACACTTTATTTTCAACAGAAAAGAAGGAAGACAGATAAAACTCTAACAAAATCACAGGAGGAAAACAGTTGAGAAATGTTTACAGGCTCAGGTTAAGTGGAAAGGAAGACCTTCCTGGCATTGGAATGCTGAGTCCCATATAGGGCCTCACAGCAGCTGGTGGCCCTGTGGACCCAGTCAAGCCTTTACCTTTTCATCTGGTGTTCTCTCAGCTTTCAGGGTTTCAATTTCCTGCTGCAACCGTGTCATCTCCTCCTTTAAAAGCAATATAAACTTTTATAAGCATCGGACAAGGAGGTATCTGGATGAAATTATTTAAATACTACTGATTCAGAAGTCTTATTTCCACTTTCATGAAGGAGTTTATACTACAGGTAATAAACTAGGAACAAGCTGCTCTGATCCCAGTTTTTAGTCTGAGAGAGTTCTTTTAAGGAGGATAAAGGCAGCTATCCCTCAGTTGAAAAGGGTTTTTCTAAAAGGCCAGTGACTTGTGCAGTAATCACTCAGACATGAAATGAACGAGAGGCTTACAGCCTAGTTTCAGTTAGGCTCCTCTGCTTCCTCTCCCCCATCTCTGCCCCACCCACCTGTCCATCTTGCCATCTCCCTTGCCCTAAGATCCAGCTTCCTTATGGCTCCTGTAGGACTGGCCTTTTGTCTTGGAGCACATCAGACTTGCTGGGCCTCATCTGCTGTCTCCTGCTGCAGTCACTTGTGCACAGGTCTCACAAACCACTAAAATGCAAGCATCCACATGGCAGTAGCTTGGGCTTATACACAAGGCACACAGGCATCCTGGTATAGCCCTGGCTTTCTATGATATTATCTTTTTCACAAAAGTCATGTATCTAAAAGTTTATATGATAAACTTTTTAAAACTTTTAAAGATTTTTCTTTACAAAATATTTGTAAATTAGTTACAATTGTTTACTGGACAACCCTTTCCATTTTGGGGTTTGGCACACAGTTATCTCACTCTCGTGTCCCTACAGGACTGGTACATACCTGCGTGATAGGTCTGCTTTTTACACTGTGTGAGACAGGATACCCCAAAAGCTCAGGGGAGGTAAACCAGGAGCTTTTAAAAAAGTCATGGTTTGTCTGCCAACACCACACCACACTTACTCGGCAATGTGCTTTAAACTCCTGTTCCTGACTTTTCAGATTTTCATTCATGGCTACAAGCGCTCTCAAGTTCTGCAGAATACTAAAGAGAAAAGAACAACAACAAAAATATACATATATATACATGTATATGGCTATGATGATTTTATGAATCACAGCTAAAACCAGAGCTCAGGTAACAAGGACTCCATTTTAAATTTCCTTTGTGCCCCCCAAGAGTGTCTAATGATTCTTCACAAATGGTAATGACGTCCATTTAACTGATATTATTATTCATTTATATACCCAAGACCATCAGACAGATCCAAACAAACATCACAGATTCCAGAATTAAAATGTCAACTGTACAAACATCAATGAGTTTCAACCATATGGGATATATTTAATGATACCAATTAATCTACATGCTGGCCATTGATAGTATTGAAAACCATTTTTAACATCCATTATGAAAGCGAAACAAGTTGCTTAAGGTTATAAAAAAAGGAGTAATTTGAAAATAAAAATTTCAAGTATCTCAGAGCATTTTGCTCCATATCATGAAAGAAAGGTTTCTAATTTAAAAACCAAGTGATCTGTGGATACTTTTTGCTAATATCATCTATTAAGCCAGAACTGCTCATTCTGTATCTGAAACTTTTTATGATTTCATAATTTCACTCAAATAAGTGACATGAGATTTTACAAACCAAACCTGTTAAATACATCCTCTCTTGTAAATATAATTCATCTTACTTGGGGAGTGATGGGGTAAATGAAACAATAATAAAACTATAGCAGCTTGGTTTTGGTAAAAAGGATTTCATCTTTTCTGTCAAGGAGACATGGCTAAGATATGTGCTGAAGAGGGGAATGGAATTAAACATGAGAAAATGAAAAAGTGGAAACCAAGACTTTGAAGGTAGGGCAGTATATGGAGAAAAATAAGTGTCAAGATATATTATATAAAGGTACAAATCTCCAACGATGAATGTTATTATATTGTATCCTAAAATGTACCAATATGGATGACTGCAGAATTGGACTGGGGACAGGAGCCGAATGCCCATATGCCTTTTTGTACCATGAAGGAATTGCTGTTTTTAAAGACAGCAATAAGGCCAGCAATTTAGCTTAGTGGTTCTGTCACCTGCGCCACCTGCCTCACAAGCTGCAAGGTCCGAAGTTTGAGCCCCGGCACCAAAAAATAAAAACAACAATAACAACATAAAAACAGGCTGCTTCTGTTAAAAGGGGAATTGGGGGGGCCACAGATTTTTGATCCCCAGTATGGAAAAAGGGGGAATTGGGAGAGAGGTGGTTAATAGCACAGCTCAAGGACAGTTCAGCAAGCATATGAGCACCCCTTTCCGGATGGCCATTTGCAATGAACTGATCTACATGGCCCAGAACCCACGATTTCTGGCTGCTTTGTACTGTGCACAAACAAAATAAGTCCCCAAATACTGGCCAAATTACTTTCTTCAAATGGAAGACAAATGTGTGTTGAAATCTCTTGCCTTGGATCTGCTTTGGCTTCTCTCTTCTCAAGGGCTGCTTGCTCTTTGTCCAGTTTCTCACTATGACTCTTCAGCTGCAATCAAAAATGGGGGCTGCTCAGCAGTAGAGAGGAAGGTGCATTTGCTTTTCTTCCTACCAACTCACACCCAAACCCCTCTTCAAATAGCTGGTCAGGCCCACTGGATTTGGCTGTACACTGAGAAAAAGAGATGAACCAGAGAAATGGAATGGGAATAGAAAGATAGCAACAGAAGGTCAAAACCAGACTCTCCTAGACATACTGTCTGTTAAAGAAGCTTTGGTGATGGCTTCAAATCACAGCAGCAAATGGATGGAAAGCCAAATGCAATGGGGAGAGCAGGTACCTTTTGGTAGTAAGGAGCTAAGAAAAAGACTGGCTGTAAGACAGAGACCTAGGTTTCAATCTCAGAGCAGTACTGCATGGCAGGGCTAAACTCTCCTCATCTCTTGAATAAATTTACCTTCTTTTTCTGAGGCAAATAAAAAGATAAAACTCAGACTTTAATACAGAAAGTGTGCAGTAACAGCATACAATAGAATATGATACTACAATTTTTTAAAAAGGGAAAGTAGCTCTTTTAAAATGATCTCTAATATCTACTGTTAGATGAAGAAAATAAGGTACAAAACCAGGAGAGTGGCAAGGAATTCAAACACTGAATGTGTATATGTATAAAGAATATGCAGTGGTACCTCGATTTAGGAACTTAACTTGTTCTATGATTTTGGAAAAGATGGCCCCATTTGTATTTGTGTAGGAAAGATGGCCATGGCTGTGTTTAACACTTGATGCAGGTTTGGCAAACAAAAACAAAAATTTGCCAAATTGTTTGCAAACAAAAGCAAGTATTCATGAACCGAGATATCACTGTATACATAACTGCTTGTAAAGTCAGTTCTAAAAAGATTCAAAAGCAAAAGATTACTTCTAGAGAGAGCAAATGAATGGCGGGTTACAGGAGTACACCCTTTGTACTTCTGAATTTTGAATAATGTGAATGTGCTTATTTCAAAAAAGTTTAAAAGAAAGTTCCAGGTGTTCTAAGACAGCAGACCAAGAACAAGTTGCAGAAAATCCTTCTTGCCCAGGTTCCCAAACGATCCACACTATTTTGCAAGAACACAGAAATTAATCTCATGGGATAATAAAGAGGGATGAAATATAGAAAGGGACTGAGAAGGATAGCTGTGTAGGCTAGTAGAGGAAGGACTGGCTTTCAGAGACAGAGATCTGTGTTTGAAACAGCCAGGTTGGAGAAGCAATGAAGTGTGATTACCTTAAACGTAAAGGCAGGTGCTTAAGTCTCAGAGGCTGGGCAGAGCCCCAGATGGTTAGGAAAAATCAGGAGAAATGGGGAGTTCCCTGACCCAGACCAACAGAAGCTACCATCTGGGGTGTCATGTTATTGGAATCTGCATAATTGCTGGTAAGTGCTACAGTATCAGTATGAAACAATTAAGAGTGTTAATCCTATACAAAGTAGGCTCAGTAGAATAGATACAGCATCCAGAGAGAGGGCAGCAGGAAATATGAACATCAAAGATGAGCCCACTATCAAGAATCCTGAACATGCAAAGAGAACATAATTAAAAAGGTGTATCAATTCAACAAGTGAATTTTAACGTGAAGAAATAGACAGCAAGAAAAACTTTGGATATAATAAATGCCCCAAGAGACACGAGAGAATACTCTGCATACTAAAAAAAAAAAAATAAAAAATCAGTTTTACACATAGGAAACTGGGGCTGTGCTGACAAGGTTAGCAAGAAAACAAGCTAGACCTGATAACTTGTGCTGCCAACTCAGGCCACCATGGAAGGCAGCTGTGCGGCCTTCCACATAGGTGTCACATGCTCCTGCCAGCCATCTTATTGCCATCCATGCCTTGGCTTTTTCATAAATTTATTGAAAAAATAACACTTTTCTGTTTTCAGTGCCATTAGGTTATCCTGGAAAGGGAGGTTCTGCTGAAGAGATAAAACCTGGGAGTCCTGGCATAAAAGAGCTCATTTGCCCAACTTCTGCCTTAATCTGAGCAGAGGGGTCTCTCTTAAGGGAGACCCAGGTTCATAGGGGAGGGTCATTAGCTATTCAGATTGAACAAACTTCTTCCTAAGTCGTTCAGCAGTAGGTTCAGCATAGCTTTCCATTTTTGTAGATGGGAATTAGTTTATCCTACTAGATGGCACCCTCTCTGGCAGGCACTTGATTGCAGATCACCTCCACTGAAATTCTGGTACCCCGTGGCAAAGGATTTAGCCTTAGTTTCCCCACTGATAGAACAGAAATGAAAACTGCTTATTGGTAGGGTCATTGTAATGATTTAATGGATGAATGCAAGCACTGGGTCAGAGAACACACAGCACCCAGTGATGTTGCTGTTTATATCTGAGGACAGGGAGACTTCCCTTATTAGTGATTTTAGATAACTTCTTCCAGAGTTCTAGGACATGAAAAAAGCTCAAAAAAATCCTTGATTGAATATTTAGTACAAAAAAGCACTTTACCACCACTTAGGAGTTACACCCTAAGGCACAGACAATGTCCTAAAAATCAGTATCAAGATGTTTTGCTTGGCCAGGGATTTAGCTCAGTGGTTCTGCTACCTGCCTCACAAGCACAAGAAACTGAGTTCAATCCCCAGTACTCCTCCCCAAAAGATGTTTTGCCTTTAATCTCTTCCAGATTATTACACAAAGACTGATCCATGACTCTAGCATTAAAAGTAATACAGCAGTAAGGGTTCTACTCCTAGGAAGTTGGTATCTAATCCATAAGGAAAGTAGTCACAGATCATTGTAAAGGAAATCAAACTCTCTAAGTGTAACACAGGCCTTTTTAGAGAACATGAAAAAAATTCTTATTTTAATAGCCATTCTTGAGGCTTGTCCTTTTTCTGGAGTCAGGATGGACTTGAATTCATTGTGCAGCCCAGTTGGCCTCAAACCTGTGGGGATCCTTCTGCTTCAGGTTTTCTGAGTTCTCAGATTACAAATGTGTGCTATCATGCTCAGCTGTGTCTTATGCGTTTTCATTATTAAGACAATTAGTGAAGAGACCAGGGCTGGCCAGAACTAAAAATCTCTGTCAGGTTTTTCAAGGTGGTGAATAATTACTATGTATTGGTAAAGAAGAAAGAATTTTAAACAGGCAAATTTCACATGAAACTTTATAAAAAGTGGGGACTGACTTGGTTTTAGAGATGTCTTACAAGATTACTAGGTTCCAAATTGTCTAACAGTACAAGGTGGAGATCTTGCAGTAAGGCCCTTCCAGAGTACAGCTACAGCCCTAGTACCAAAATCACTGCAGAGTGCTTTCAGATCCAGAGGAAGACAGTTTTCTGTGAAAATGTAAGGGACAGAAATATTAAATATCCTCCCGAGAGATGGTATCAGAGGTATCAGTTCTTCACCTGGTTTCCCAGGCAATCAGAAGTGGGAGGTGAGCCGTGCTATGATGCTGATGTGAGACAGCACACGTGCAACCTAGATGGCAAACTGAACTGCACGGTTCAAATGTACCATCAGCCCTCTTCTCTCTCCTGTCAGATAGCTGGTAATCCTGAAAACAAATTTCATCACTCTGATATTCTTTTATCTTTTACAAGAAACCTTCATGTGCTCAAAAATTCAGTATACAGGAAGCTCTTATATGACCTGGTGCTTGAGAAGCAGGGTCCATGCAGTGTGAGACCCTGAAAGGTCTCTGTGTCCTGTGCCTGTTGGGCTGGTCTGCCCCAGGAAACCCTTCCTGACCATAAAGCCCACAGTGACCTCTCCCACCAAGACCATTAAAAATTTAGAACACTGCTGCATGGATAAACTAATAGCAGGAGTCATATATCACTATGTAACTTTTCTATGTTCTGAAATGGACCAGACCTCTGAGGACACAGTGGTCTCCTCTGCAAAGGATGATAAATTGGGCATTCCATTAGCAGTGCTGGTTAGAAACAATTCTTACCAGAGACCATAGTAGAAGGAGGATTTGCTCACCTCTGTTAGTGTTTTCTTTGTTTCATTATATCTGGTTTGGAGATTGGTATGATTTGCTTGCAACTGCAAATGAAAGATAAATACATAATCCTTAGAACAACACAGGTATGGACAGTAGTCCCATTTCACAGATTAAGAAAATGGAAGCTCAAAAAGATTTAAAGGCAATGTGGAAATTTTAGAAGGGTTGCCAATAACAACATTAAAACATAATCCACCTCATAATCAGCACGAACTATGTGTCAGGCCATTTACTAGATATTTTATACAAATTCTATCACTGAATTCTTACATTCAATAGAAGACATCAATCTTATTTTATGGGCAAAGAAATAAAAACAGAATGGGTAAGTCACTTGATTAAAGTCTCCTAACTGACAAATGTTATGGGCAGGATTCAAATTCAGATTTATATGACTTTTGTGTGCCTATATTCAACTCTACTAACCAACTTGCCTGTTCAGGGACTACAAAATGCATTTCAACATTTAAGATTCTACCACAGAGTATGATTGGTTGGCTAATGATGCCAAATGTAAGAAAGGTTTTGGAACTTCAAGACTCAGAGAAATAAAATGAATTACCTTTACTGTTCAAAGTACATAACCATTCAACTTGCATCTCTAAAATGTCAACTCTCTCATCTTGTTTACTCATCTAATTGTTCAACCTACAAGGCCAAGGATTACATGTTGGTCATCTTTTTCTTTTCTTTTTTCCCCTCTGGTTCCAAGGATTGAACCCAGCGCCTTCACAGTGAGCTAGCCCATTTTTTAAATTTTGAGATGACAGGCTATCACTGTTGCTCATCTTTAATAACACTAACCATCACAATAGTAATCACTGTCCTTTGTTAAGAAACTGCTATTCGAAAGGCAGTATGCCTGAAAAATATCAGGCAGGCTCCTGGTAAACGAGGTTCTGAACCAATTGCAAAAGAGACCCGAGTCAGGAAGAATGATCCTCTCAGGTAGACTGACACTGTGCTGGAACTGTCATTTAGAATGAAAGTAAGCATTGCTTTACAAGTTCAGACAGGAGGCAGAAGTAAACATCCACTTGTGTTTGAGATGGTGTGGCCTTCAGGGTCTGCAAACTTCAAACTATCAACAATCAGGGGGAAAGACATCATGATAAAGAAGCCTCACCTTTTATCTCTGCTGTCTTGACTGAGTGATGAGTTCCTTTTGAACCAATCACTCACATGTTCTTATATCACTGGCTATGATTAGGAGGATGATATCCCTGAGCTAAGTACTCAGTTCTATGATATTTAAATAAATTACTGAACAAAAACCAAATCATAGTAATCTATGCATCTTTCTTTGCTTATGATCCAGAGCATTTGGGTAAAATGAGCTTTTTCACTCACATGTTCTTATATCACTGGCTATGATTAGGAGGATGATATCCCTGAGCTAAGTACTCAGTTCTATGATATTTAAATAAATTACTGAACAAAAACCAAATCATAGTAATCTATGCATCTTTCTTTGCTTATGATCCAGAGCATTTGGGTAAAATGAGCTTTTTTTCTTTTTTTTTGGTATCAGAGATCGAACTTAGGTCCTTGTGATTGCGAGGCAGGTGGTGGAAGCACTGAGCTAAATCCCTAGCCTCAGAGCCTATTGTTTATTTAGCTCTGGTAGAACAAATTCTAACAGTCAAAATTCAAACAAAGACGAGAATGGGCAAAATCATTTGATATGTGAATATCTTTTGAATATGTAAGACTTGTAAGAATAAAAAATGCACAATCTCAAAATGCCACCTCTCAAATGACAATGTGAAATAGGAAGAAAAGGGCTAAATGTGTAGGGAAAGTGGGAAGGGTAGGGGAAAGGTAATAAGGGAAAAGAAAAAAATATGAGAAAATGAAAAAATGGAAATAAAGTGTTTGTAAATGGGAAGGGGAGGAGGGGATGAAGGGAGGGCAGGGACAAGGGGAAAAAATGAGAACAAAGACCTGTCATGTAAAGATAGAAGATCCCAATGATGAATGTAACTGTACTGTATACCTAAAATGTACCAACATACTCAATTTTAAAAATGCCAACTGTCACCCATTTTTGAAAAATCAATTGTTACAGCAACTTCTATGAACTGTTCTACAGAAAGTCCTAATTAAATATTATTGCCCATGCAACTGAAGCATATAATGACTTTTTATTGTGCAATGAGTTTCCTGAGCCAAACTCTCCAGTGTCCTCTACTTTCCAGGGCAAACTTAAGATCTTTCCAAAATAATCTCATCCATCATCAAGTATTACAGAATACTATCTCCAACACTTCTCTTAAAAACAATCCATTTTCTCCACTTCTCCTGTCATCAACCACTCATGTGGACTACTGCATCAACCTCCTTAACAGTGGGTTCTCTCTGAAACCCTTCTCACTCAATCCAATTAATTCGTGCTCACACAGCAAACAGAATGGTCTTCACAGCACGCAAATTGGATCATGTCCTTCACCTACTTCAACACTGAAGTGTTTGTCCTTAATGTGACCAGGAAGGTCCTGTTTGATCAGACTGTACTGATCTCACTTAGGAAACCTCTAACCACAGAACAGAAGTTGGTCAACTCTTTCTCTCCATGGACTTTGTTCGCGTTATTTCATAGATCTCCACCCCTGACCTCCAAGCTTCCTGTGCAGACTTCCCGCCTAGTGAACATCCGCTCACTTTTTCTAGACTCCATCCTCTATGACACAAGGCTAGGTGAGGTCTCCCTATCAGTCACTCTCTTAGAGCACTAGACTTCTCCTTCAAGCACTCTTCATAGCTATAAATAAATGATGATGGGCACAATAGATGTGTTATTTAGTGTATCTCTTCCCATCAGGCTTTAGGATCTTTGGGAGCAGGGATCATAATGTGTTTTTCATTCAGCCCATACCCTGGGTCAGTGCTAAGCATAAAATAGCACTCAATAAATAGTTGTGACTCAATGTTATTCTTGCCATGACAAACTTTTCCTATATATGGCCAGAAAGTATGAATTTTAGGTTCTGCAGCTCATGTGATCTCTGTGGCAATTACTCAACTCTATCCCTGTAGCATGAAAGCAGCCACAGAAAATATTTAAGGAAACTGGTGTTCATATGTACTAATTAAACTTTATTTGTAAAATAAGTTTAACTGAGGCTGAACAGAGGGCTATATCTCCTTTGATTAATCTATCAGGAAGATCTTTACTTTTTTCCCCATTTCGCCCTTCTCTGAAGAATGGTTTCACTGACTTGACTGAAATCATAAAAAGAAAACATTAACCTCTTCCAGATGTTTGGTCTTCTGTAGAATCTGCTTGTTCAAGGAAATAATTTTCCGATGATGTAGCTGAGAGGTTCCTAATTTTTCTGGACTTTCTTCTGCTGACAGCTCAGACTGCTGTGGGAAAAGGGTAGAGGAAAGCCAAAGTGTTTAATTAGTTAACCTCAGTTCAGATGACCCATTCCTGCTCAGTCTAGGCAAAGAATTTCCACGCCACCAATTACCCCAAAACAGGGCAACTACAGGGTCCTCTACAGAAACTCCATTCCAGGGAATATTCTGACATAATGACCAAAAGCCCTATCAACAGAATCTGCATTTCTGGCAGAGGGAAAATACATGCAGCAGAAGCCCAAGGCTACATAACTGTGATTATGTTGCTATCTAGAAAGCTAGACAGCATCCAAGGGTATTCAGTAGAGGAATAACACAGGCACAGTAGTGTCTTCATAGATACCATTCTGCAGTCATCAAGAACGATGATTTTGATCAAAGAATTATAAACGTATGAGTAAAATGTCTACTTAGAAGCACTTATAATAAAATGCAAGTCTCCCAAATCATTTCCCTCCATCCATCCATAGGCCCTATCTCTTAAGCTTTATTTTACCTGTGGTCTTCTAGTGAGAACACGTGGTAGGTTTGAGAGGGATAAAAATTGCTGGAAGCCCAAAGAGGACACTTCTGAAAACATGTGAGGAGGGGACACAAAAGGAGGGCTGAACAAGACACAGAAAATATTAAGACTGAAAATACGTAAAGGAGATCTCCAGATCTGGTGATTATGGCAACATTTTATAGGACAAGGAGTTGTCATTATTGAGAAACCTGCACAAAGAAGGAAGCAGCTTGGTGTAGAAACAAAACAGAAAAACCTAACCTCAATGCCTTTGTGAGGAACCCTGGGAAAAGGAAATAGGAAAGTCTATTTTGTTGCTACAGATTTTCCAAAAATACTTTTTGGATTAGTAAGCATAGCTTTACTAGTCAAACACTTCATATTTCCCCATTTTACTCCAAGTACCCCATTTCCAAGCTAATCACTGATTCTAAGCTCAAGCGCAATGAATTCTTTGGATACCTGACCTTCCTTGTGTATTTTAATAGTGAAGATAGGATTTAAAGTATCCTTCAGGAAAAAATGGTCATAACTACCACTTATTATAGGTAAGGATTTCTCTGAATAATTCAGCAGCATTATTAATGGATGCTGAGTTTCTCTGCTACTTCACAACTTTAGAAGTAGGAAACAACCAGCAGGGTATGACTACATAAAAGAGCAAGGAATATTATTTCCTATTTTGTGTGCTGATAGGCCATGGAAAAAATAGACAACCTAAATATCTGGTAATACAACATATCTGGTCTTGAAAACTGGGACTGTGGAAAATGTCAACTAACATTTTAACTTTTAAAATTAATTTTGGAGACAATGAGATATTCACAACTTGTCATCTGGAGGAGAAATTTTCTGAAATTTATTTGAGAGTTTAAGAAAATGGAGGGGAGGAAAGAACCTCTTCCTATTTCCAAATTACTTGCCCAATAAAGGTGTAGGGGAAAGGAAAGAAGGGAAAAGAAAAAATATGAGAAAAGGGAAAAAATGGAAATAAAGTATTTGTAAATAGGGAAGGGTAGGGTTTTTCTGAAATTTATTTGAGAGTTTAAGAAAATGGAGGGGAGGAAAGAACCTCTTCCTATTTCCAAATTACTTGCCCAATAAAGGTGTAGGGGAAAGGAAAGAAGGGAAAAGAAAAAATATGAGAAAAGGGAAAAAATGGAAATAAAGTATTTGTAAATAGGGAAGTATAGGGTGGATGAAGGGAGGGCAGGGGTATGGGGAAAAAATGAGAACCAAGATCTGTCATGTAAAGGTACAAGATCCCAATGATGAGTATAACTGTACCATATACTTAAAAAGTACCAATAAACTCATAAAGATAAAAAAAATTACTTGCCCAAAACAGAACTAAAATGAACTCACTGTCTCTTCCCCACCTGACTAGATTACTCTTTTGTATGCCCAGCATTTAACAGCTCTTTTCTTATAGTTAATTTCAGTACTGGATTTTCACATTTGACTCAGATTCTTTGACATTGACTTGCAAAGAGTCAATGGCATATCCTAAGGGCATTTTAGATTATAAGCAGAGTTGAATAAGCCCCCTATTTTGATTGAAATAATTAATTCTCCATTCACTGAAACTACCCCACTTTCTATGCTTGATGTAAGGGTTACTCTTAGGTGTCCTGACCTCTTCCAGCTGCCTATATGGTTTCCAGATTGAGATGAAGACAGATAGACTCCAGTAGTTACAGGCACCACTCACCTTCTGTTTGGAGGGGCTGGACAATGTTTTTGATTATTATTTGGCTTTCCCGCTGACCACCTGCTTTTACAGTCAAAGTATCAAGAGAATAAAAACTCCACTTTCCAAGGGAGGGCAGGGACAAGGGGAAAAAATGAGAACCAAGATCTGTCATGGAAAGGTACAAGATCCCAATAATGAATGTAACTGTACAGTATACCTAAAATGTACCAATAAACTCAATGAGGAAAACAAACAAAACCAAAAAGACCTCCATTTTTCCACTCAGCTTTTATTCCCTCTTATCAGTAAATGTGACACACATACAGCTTTAAAAATGTTTTAAAACTGTGACATTCAAACTTCAATTATAAGAGCTCTTCCTGCAGAAAAACCATCTATCTTAATTTATCAATCTACCTTAATACCAGGAAAAAAAGATTTGCAGGGGCTAAGACCGAACTTCTTCCCATAATAACACTAAGATGTTATTTGTTTTCATTCTCATTTTGTCATGACTGTACAGTACAATTTTCTAGATATTACACAATATGTATTATCATCCTGATGTTAGAACATAATATATTATTATTTGTGAGCAATTAATACATAAGCTGTTGGATTCTTGATAACTTTTAGGAGTCTTTAAAGCGTCCTGAAACTAAGTGTTGAGAACTCCTACTTTAATCCAAGAGGCCTGGCTGACTTGACAATCTTCCCATTGGCTGAAATCTATGAATGTACCCATTGTCTCAGACAGCCAATGGAGTGGGCTTGCTAAGAGGTAGGTTGTTATTTCATAACATCGAAAGGAGAAAGGTTCCTCAGACTCCATGCTTTTACTGGACATATTATTCACAAAACAATATAAACAGAAAAAAATGCTTGCGGGGAAAAAAAATTCTTAAGTCTCTACGTACACTATATCTTTATTATAATAGTATATATTCCATGAACACAGGGCTTTCAAAATATTTTATCTTAGCGTTGAGTAACAATTCTCATTCTCTGTAGAGTCCCTCAAGTTGGCATTTACAAAAGTATTAATGTACACTAATGCCAGGATATTAAGTACCATTTCTATACTTGACTTTCCTCCAGTCCAGATGACTAATATGCACATGTATAGGTCCCTCATACATAGGAATTTCTGAGTTCCTCCATTTGTCTTTGAGTCTTTGTCTATTTAGGTTTGGGACAGCTAAAATAATTTATCCCAGAGCTGAAACGAAGAAACTTTTTAACCTAGAGGATGGAAACTGATTATTCTAAATTTTTTGTTTCTTTCAAATATAAAGCCAAGAGAACTCAGACCAAAGACAAAAACTGGTCCTTGTATCAGCAGGGCTCACTAGCACTGAGAGTTATAATGGAAAAGAAAGCTGCAGATGACAGCGTTGAATGTGGAACAATGGAATGAACTGGACGGATGGAGGAGAAGAGGGGGCTTTACACTAAATCCTTGACAGAAAAAAATAAAATCCTGGGGCATCTTAACTGATTTCATCTTGAAAAGCATCTGTTAAAGAACACCAACCATCCACAAATAAACCTTTTGTGTTTACACTGGGGTGAAGGCTCAATTTCCAATCTAATTTTGTTCAACAATTTCAGATTCAGAACGTGATTTCAAAAACACAGTATGGATTAAGACAACTTCTGATGCAGATTCATTTTTTAATATTTGGACAATATTAGAAACTTCTATTCTTAGAGGAAACAGACTTAAATGTCACTTAATATTATTAGTCCGGGCCCAAAGGGTAAATACTCAAGAGAAACAAAAATGATTGATTACTTTACCTAAAATTATATTCCTTCATAATTAAAAGAGGCTCTAGAGGTTATCCACATATTAACTTTCTGCCAGTTTTTTGGGTAGTGCTATGACTGAAGCAAAGGCCTTTGCAGCCTATGCAAGCGTTCCACATAAACTACACTTTCTGTATTAATAACTTTTCTCTTGTTCTTGAGACAAAATACCCAACACTCAAAGTTAAAGGAGAAAAGGTTGATTTAGTGCACAGTTCATAGATGTTTCAATCCATGATTGGCTGGCTCCAGGGTAACACAGCAGCAACAGTTTATGGAGAGACTGAAGATAGCAGAAGCAACAAGGGATCTTAACAGTGTCTTCCTGCCTCTTTAATCTCATCCAGACTTCTGATCGGATTAGGTGGCACCAAACCAATCACTCATGTGGTTTAGTAATCACATGCCCTTAATACCAGCATCACACACAACAGATTCAGCCACCTCAGAAAAAAGCATGAGGCTTTAGGGGAACACCTAAATATAAGCCATAACACTAGCTAATATAGAGATACCTCCATATCACCCCACCACCAGCAAAATATGGTCATTAAGTTGTCAAAAGAATCCTTATGTCACCAAGTTGCCAGAAATTCTCTATAATTAGAGGGACTTCAGTTCCTGACAACTTGACTCACTCTTCAATTGAAAACGGACTATACAAATATTAATTTTAAAATACTAAAAAAAAATCAATGGGGAGGAGAGGAGGGGGTGAACGGAGGGCAGGGACAAGGGGAAAAAATGAGAAACAAGACTATCGTGTAAAGGTACAGGATCCCGATAATGAATGTAACTGTACTGTATACCTAGATTGTACCAATAAACTCAATAAAAAGAAAAAAAAATCTATGAACTACAAAGACTATTAAGAAATTCAGAATGGGCTGAGGATTTAGCTCAGTGGTGCCATGCCTTCCTTGTAAGTGGAAGGTCCTGAGTTCAATCCCCAGCACCCCCCAAAAAAGAAAAGAAATTAAGGAAGGTCAACAATGA